TTTTGAGCAAGCAAGGCTTTGATCATGAGCTACTAGAGGATTGAACACAAGAGTCTGCATTTAATTTACCCTCCTGTGGGGGATTATTGTAATAGTTGAGTGTAAATGATTGTCCCACTTGTTTATTGATTGACAAAGTTGGCATTAATAATTGAGTGCAAATAATTGATCACCACTTGATCATAACTATTGCAAATAATTGATCCCCATTATTGAGCCAACTTGATTAGCAATTCCTCTCAGTAAATTTTCATTTGATGAAGAACACAGAAGAAAATGGAGAAAAATATAGAGAGATATGAAAGAGAAAGGGAAAAGCAGTATAATAAAATAGCTTAGTGATAAAAATATTAGTGAGAAAAATAGAGAAAAAATTATCAGAGGGATAATTTAATTCTTATTTTTCAGTGCTCAATTCCTGACTCCGTTCCAGTTCGCCGGAGCTCCTAAATCTGTTGTGCTACAGATTTCGAGACGATCGTCGTTGTATATTTGGGGACGTTACGCCTGAACCATTAGTACTACACGGGGCGTATTCGTCTTGCGGAAAGAGTTTACTCGCCTCGGCTAAAATCTTTCCGTTTTTTCAAGTTATAATTTATTTTCAATTCTATTCTAATTTTCTATTTTTAAATCATTTGTAAGAACTAAAAACTACATATGAGTTTGTAGGATTCTCGTGTAATTTTTACACACAGTTTCTAACATCTTCTTTGTCACATAGCCGTAGTTTTCCCTGATCTGTGTGCGCGTCGACTGTGTAAGTTCATTATCATTTTTTTTTCCACCTTTTCGCTCATTTTTTCGCATTTCATGTTGAAATATTCGTCAAATTTATGTTCGCAGCTTTGTTTTTTGTTACAATTTAAGATTTATGTCTCCTGCGGGAAGGGCTCGTCGGTTGTTGTAAGTACATCTGCCCCCTTATATCGATTATACGCACAAATGCCGTGAATGCTTGTGTTTGTGTTGATATTGTGTTAGTTCAACTCCTAAAATTGCTTCCTAATTTCAGAGTTGAAACCCTAATTGCTCTGTAAAATATGGGCCATTGTTGTTTGGTGATAGCCTTTGATGATTGTATGATGAAATATGAAGGATTAGTGTATGTAGAACACCCAAATACACAAATGTTGCTTGTGACCCTATTTAAAGCTCTTACGATTTTTTTTTACAATGGTTGTTTTGTACATAACGTAATTTTTATATGCTAAAGTTGGAAATTTGATATAAAAATTAAGTTACTTTTTTGGGTTGATTTTCTAACACTCTAGTTTAATCGAATTTGAAATTAGAAATTAAAAATTATCCAATTTTAAGAGGAGGCACTTATTTGGTATAATATAAACCTCTGTGCTGCCTTGTTAGCAGTTTCATGGGTAATTTGTAATTAAACACAAAACATATGCCCTAAATGAATCCTAATTACACAAACACCCAATAATGTCTTAAACTTTAAAATACTTGTTTAATTTCTTTATATATGAGGAGGCACTTATTTGGTGTAGTACAAACTTCTTTAAATTATACATATTCTTTATGCTACATAAATCATACATGTGTGTCGTGAATCCTTCCTATTTTGGCTTTTTGTTGTTGGTAACTTAAGTCTTTAGTGAGTGCTATTGCTGAAGAAATTTACTTGATGCTACACAATCATGTGGAGTGCTTCTTTTTTGCCTAGTAGTTTGATGTTTCTGTTTGTTGGACTTTAGTTCTTCTGCTTGTTGTAGGGTTCACTTTGTTTTAGCGTTATCCGTTCTGCTGCCTTGTTTATTGCATTTTTTTTTTGTTCGGCCCAAACCCGTTGATTGGAGTGTTGATAACAGATGTTATTTTTACCTTTCATGTTCTGTATATATTGATTCTTGACTTTGGGCACACCTTGAGCTGGAGTTTAATTTTCCTTGTATTATTGGAGTTGCTTGGGCGTGCCCTTTTAGCTGAAGCTTTATTCTTTGGTTGCACCATCAGCAGGCATTTATGTTTTCTATTTTTAGAGCTGCTTTGGTGTTTTTTTGTCAGGCATAAGGTATATATTGGAATTCTCTCTCTTCTTTTGTTACTTTTCTGTAGTTTTTTTTTCTTTCCTGTGTTGCTTGGTTTCTTAGGTAGGCTTAGCCTCTTTGTGTAATTTTGAAAACTATCTTGTAAATACTGTCACTTTTTTAGAATGCATTTTTCACTTTTTATAAAAAACATAAAAAAGAAATAAGTAACCGGAACTTATATGTCTTGGATGAATGTTAAACTTTCTACATGTCTATAATGTCCACAGGAATCCAACTATGTTGTAATTTATTACCAATACACCCTACATACTTTCTTTTACAAATTACTCCTTCTGAGGGTCTTCTAAAGTTTTTGGTGATGTTTTGTTTGGTTTATTTGTAATCTTTGTTAAGAAACTGCATATTAGTCACAAGTTGTAGCAGTAGTTGTTGTTTTTTGTTATGTTTTTAGATTGTTGGGAAGGTTGACTTATGAGGAAATTTTAGAAATGTTTAACCACCTTAAAGACTGGATGTTTTTAGAAAAGATATTTGGTCTGTTTAGTAAAATATTGTATTCAGCAGTACTGTTTCATTTAGATGTTCTACAATTGTTGACTTATAGAGGAGTGTTATCGATTGTGTTGTGGATAAAACAGGACATGGGTAGGTCTTACTGCTAAAATACTAAAAATAAGAACAATGATGAAGTGATTAAAACATGGTTTCAATTAATAAATACCTTGTTATACAAGCTTGTAGGTTTCGTCGGTGAATTATTAACTAATGTGTACCTATCTAATTAATACACAAAATAGTTGTATATTGGTGGGGTTCTACATGGGGCTTCTTTTGGGAATATGGAGAACAAAAAAAAAAAACATCTCTCAGTTTGTGTGTGACAGAGTCATTCAGAAAGTGAATAGATGGAAAAAAGATCTTAGTAAAACAGGTAGAGAGGTGCTTATAAAAACAGTGTTTGATGCACTTCCTACATATGTCATGTCCTGTTTTAAGATTCCTGTTGTTGTGTGTAAGAATATTTGCAGGAAAGTGGCTAGGTTTGGATGGAGGAAGGATCCATTGGGCTGGGTGGGACAAACTTGCAAAACCAAAAGAGTTGGGGGTTTAGGTTTCAGAAACCGAAGAGCTTTTAGCGAAGTCTTGATAGTCAAGCAACTTTGGAGGATGATTACACAACTCAATTTGCTTGTGAGCAGGGTTATGAAGGGTAGATATTTTTTGAAGGAGAAACTGTTGGGAGGTAAAACTAAGAAGTCGCTGAAATTGGGAGCTAGATTTCAGGTGGGGATAGGAATATTATTTATATCTTAGACTCTCCTCAGATCCCTAATTTGCCTTTTCTTAAACCCACCTGGTAGTTTTAGGGAGATAGGGAGAGGTTCAGCAGAGTTTGGGAATTGTTTAGACAAGGGGAGAGAGATTGGGATAGAGATTTAATTTATTAGACTCTTAATTCCTTTGTTGTAGAATCTATTTTGAAGATTCCCTCAAGCCATTTAGGGTTGAAGGATTAATTGATATGTCATTGGAGCAAGAAGGGAGGGTTCTCTGTTAAAGCAGTGTATGAGCACCTTATGTCCACTGAAATGAGAGCACAGGTGGCTGCTGGAACAAGCAAGGATGAGGGATGGGACAAGACAATGTGGAGATCAAACTAGAAGTTGATTGTGAAGATTAAAATCATAAATTTCATATGGAGGTGTTGGTTTGGCTACTTGAGCACAAAGCTTCATTTGTACAAGAAAGGCCTAGAGGGGGATGTGAGATATGAAATATGTGGAGAAGAAATGGAGGATATAGAACATTTGATCTTCAAATGCCCCAGCACTATCACTTGTTGGAAACTACAAGGAATTAGGTGGAATAGTGTGGAGCGGAGAAGAACTTCTTTCAGAGACTGATGGCAAGAAATTTGTTGTGTTGGGAAGGCTAATTTCATCAAAGATAGAATTAGTCTTTCAAACTACCTCTTATTTAAAGGAATTAGTGTTGTTACTTTCCCGGCAGAAGCCGGCCTGGCTCTTAGTTTGGTTAGGGCGGACTTCGACTTTGTAATCATTTAATTACGCGAATGTATTTAATTCGAGTTTAATAATATATTTTTTATTGTTGTCGTCAAAAAAAGATAAAAGGAAAGAAAAGAAAAGAAAATATAGATAGAGGTATAATATTTTTCGCAAACAGACCATACGAAAATAAAATCAATGGATACGTTATTTTTTTCTTTTAATTATATAATGATGTCCTTCCTTAGTAGGGGATTATTTATCAAATAAATAAGTGATGTATCGAACAAGCCCTCCTCTTTTACTTAACAAAATAAGACATAATATTGTTAGTTGACCGACCTTATTCGGCGTTTATTATCCTTGATAGCACATAGGATTTGATCTACGTGGCATGTGGTGGTCCACCAACTAATCAGGTTATAGACCAACTAATCAGGTTATTCTTGATAATTATGTCCCAGCTTGGACATGTGATATTTTTATCCTAACAGCTTTTTGAGTTAAAATTACTTTGTTGTCCCTAAAATGCCCTAACAAATGTTTTAAAAACCCTTTTAGATTGAATTATTTACAAACATGACCGAGAGGAATTGGTTGATGTGGGAAGATGACGGCGACGAGGCGATCGCGGATCTCTGGCAGGAGATCGAGTCGGTCTTCTCGCACAAGTCGCTGACAACGGGGGCGCTGGGGAAGCTCGGGGAGGCGGTTAGGGTTATGCTGCCCAATTCGAGGCAGCGATTAAGAACTCTTCGAAAGCATCTTCATCCTCGTCCTCCTGTGCAAGCTCAATGATCATATTCAATTTGCAGATGTGATTAGATTTGAGAAAGGGGTGGATGACTAAATATGTAATTTCCAATAAAATCCTATTCAATTTATTCTACATATGTAAACGTGGTTTTGTTTTGGTAAAAAAACACAACCTATTTGTAAGTAAAGGATAAAAATTCAGGTCAAACAGTAATAGTCCAATCTCATCCAATTAAGTAAAAGAGGCCTAAGAGAAATAACATGTTAATTTTATTTTTTTTAACATGACGTCCTTCCTTAGTAGGGGATTATTTATCAAATAAGTGACGCTCACGTATCCCACATCATATAAATACAATCTCATCTCACACAGCAAACCTGCCATCATCATATGCTTCTACTGCTGATTTTAACAGCCATACCATTACCTGCATAATTCACCATAGCATCACAATCTCACATTTCAATCTTGTGCACCCGATGCAACCACTTTAGCCTTCCCATAAAGTCCCAAATACAAGTGAAATAAAACGACGAATATGTAACCACCCAAAAGACTTTTCTTGTATTTCAAGGTATTACTTCTTTATTCTTACATAAAATTGATCCTACAAGGCATAAACACAGCACAAAATCGTAAAAAAAATCCCCGTCTAATCCTTGTTTCTTCAGGAAAAAAAAAAGCTTCTGCAAGATCACGATGAAGCTTTCCTGTCATAACTATATGACTTCTTCCTGAACAGGCTTCTCAACACCGACACAAGTACAACTAAAGCTATCTCCATATGCTCCGAGCTACTAACCTTCACGCACAACTGACCCATTTTCTGGCTATTCACATTGGCGCTAACCGACATCGACGTACCACGCCCCACCCTAAATTCGGACTGCACACTCCCACCCAAAACCATCTCCTTCTCAAAATCAAGGACAGTCACAGCCAAACTCACCTTATCATTCCTCACCGGATAATCCTTCCCTTTCAAAGTCGTCTCCAAACTCCCGCCAAACACTGCCTTCCCTCCGCCTCTCATCCCACCAGCATTCACTCTAAAATCCATCCTCTTTCCTGCCAATAAGGTATTCACGACCTTAGTCCCATAATACCACTGATCCCCAAAAGACGTCAAAGAAATCCCGCACTCGGTTAAATTGCACCCGAAATTCCTCATCTTAGCATTTGTTCGAGCCGTGCATATCAACTCCCTGCCTGCTGACTGGACATCGAAGCCCAAGGTGTACGTGGACCCACCACGGCCAAAAAATCCCAAGGTAGATTCAGACTGAATGTTGAAATCTTGCTTGTCTTTGCTCATTTGTCCCGCGAGGCAAGCCACAAGGTTCTTCTTTATTTCTGCATTTACCTCGAGATTGATTCCATCAAACCCCACATCGTAGTCCCACCCATTTAAATCGAGGACAGGCCTTGCAATCCAACTGTTATTGTTAACAAGGCACCGAAATCGATGCACAGGATTATCCGAGTCGAAACTCAGTGGGACAATCATGTCCGGGAGCAGAATTGCTTCCGGAAGGTCATCTTGATTATTATTATTTTCATTTATTTTTTCTGTTCTTCGTATGTACTCTTGCCTCATCTGCTTCTTCAGAAAAAGGGTCTCCCTGTAATCGAGCTCGTCGAGATATTCCTTTTTCTGGAGAGGGGTCAGCTTTTGGAACTGGGCTTTGGTCAGGATGCGAATGGGAGGTAACTGGTCGTATTCATCTTCTTCATCAGAGTCGAGATTATGGAATGTTTCGAATATTTCGCTCTCCTCTCCATCTGGGCTCGTTTTCACGCGATGTTTGAGGAAAGACGAGAGCAAGTGAGGCAAAGAAGGCGCGCGGGAGTTGCCCATAGGCCCCAAACGTATACTGTCGTCTAATTTCAGTAAGGCATTCACATCGCCTAGAATTTTAGTGCACACGCACAACAACATGAACTGGGACATCCACACTTGTCCATTGGGAAGAATTTTCTTCCCTAAAAGGTCCACTCTGCACTGGGGGTGGTTTTCCACCAAGATCACTGGATTTTCTAATTTCCTGTCCATGATTGCCTGGTGAATGTGATGCTGGACAACCTGTCTGCAGAAGTTCACATATGAATCATAGCTCACCGGAAATCCACTCTGACCTTCCGGAAGTTCGGCCGAGGAATGAGTCATGACAATGTTGGTGCTGAACCAAACTGCAGGCCCAAGGATTTCGGTGATAAGCTTGAGCAATGGAAAATCAGGGTAGCTAATGTCGATCAAATCAAGCCGTTCGAAATACAAAATAACGTCTGGACGTGATTTTCGTATGAAGCGCTTCACGGAGTGAAGGATTTCTCTATTTCTACGGTTGGAAATTGAGGAGGGAGGTAATAGACCTGGGGTGTCGATAAATGATATTTTAATGCCGTTCAAGTTTCCCGAAATTTCTTGAATTCGAGTCGTGGAAGGGTGGAATGCGTCGGTTGTTACCTTAGATTCACCAAGAATGGAATTTATTGTGGAACTCTTGCCGACACCAGTTTTACCCAGAATGAGTATCTTGATAGAGAAATCCAGTTCCGGTACACCGGTTTCTTCTTGCTTTGCAGCTACCACTCGAGCTCTATCACTTTTGAGATTAGCTTTTTTTAGATCTGATTCGCTGGTTCGTATCAAGGATGCCAGGTGAATCCGGTATAAAACCTTTGCAACTGTAAGATTATCTTGCCACAGGTCAAGTCGTTGAATTATACGTAAGAATTTAATTTGTAATGCCATTACTTTTGAAAGAGGGTCCAAATCTTTCTCCTGGATGGCAAAATTAGGCTCTGAAGGACTTTCCATTTCAGCGGTTGACAATGGATTCTGAGTCATTTGATTATCACTTTGTGAGAACCGTGTTTCTGTAGAAACTGGATGTGAAGTTAAATTGGTGTTGGTTTGAGAGCCTGAGAAGAAATGGCAAGCAGTTTTCTGTGAGACAACATTCATCATTATTCAGTTCAAAGATAAATCCAGAAATAGAGAATAAAAACATGATTTCATTTTTAGCATGTTTTTACTAGATTACTCAACTGGAAGTTGACATTAACCTTTTACTGGAAGATAATAAAATGGAATATTTCTATTTTTCTAGATTTTTAGGTCATCTATTACTGAAATGAAAATGACGTGGTTATTGATGTAATTAGCCAAGAAGAATTTCAAAACTGACTTTGGCCAATGACAAAAGGAGACCAGCTAAAACATAAACGGTGAACAATAGAAAAGAATCTCAAGTTGAAAGGTTCTGTAAAACAATTAGTACAACTGGGCAATACAAAACAGATGTTCTATGCCAAAGGGAAATCCAATAGTAGTTGATATATTGAAGTCAAACTATTTTGCAGATGTTGACACTATAGAACCACAATGAGATGCAGGATTCCACCAAGTGGCAGAAATTCAACCAGTGTGCTGCATTATGTGGTATCTAGTGATCATATGTTAGATATGCCATCTTGCTCATGCGTAGGTCATTAGTCGTCACAACTTCTCAAAAGAAGTCCCGCATGCAACACCCGTTTTTTTTCTTTTTGGTTTTTGTTGGGGTACAGCAATTTATAATTTAAATTCCACTTAAAGTTTCTTTGTTCCGTGCAGAAAAAACAGAGAAATATCAAACGAACTTTTGGGACGAAGCAAAAGAAAACAAATTGTCTCACGAAGCACTAAGGTGCAATAAAACTCAGGCTAGTTCCCTGCAAACAAGTAGAAGAGACCCTTATTGCAGGAAAAACTTCGAGGCCAATTAGGTTCATGCTTCACTGCAGAAGGTGAACCAAAGCAACAGCATAAAAACGAAATAAAGAATTTAACCAAAGTTACATCCCTTTATCTTACACACTACGATTAGCAATATAGCAATAACAATTTTTATTCAAAGAAAAAAAGGGTAATACCTTGGCTTGCAAGATCCTCATTCTGAGAATCCTGAGACAAAAAGCTTTCTGATGCAGAAAGAGGTCTGGTTGATCCTATTGACTTTGATATAACTTGAGAGAAAACCCAATCCTTAACACTCGCCATTCTAACAGCCTGATAACAGATGAAATTCGACCAATAAACTTCAGATGTCGTAAAGCACATAAATGGCATTCTGCCAGGTGCAGTTGACGGGCAACTTAAAACAACCTGGTCCAGCATTAATGCTGAACAGCTTGACAACGAAGGGTGAGAAAATTCATCAAAATGGCTAAACATCTTATTGTAAAAAATGATTTGTTTGAGGGGACCATTCTAAGAGAAGCTTAACCCACAGAAGTTTTGCTAGTAGTTAGGAGCTGCAATTATTCTGTTGCGTTAGTCTGAGAACACTTTAAAACTTAAAGTTTTTAGCCTTCAACATCCATAGAACATATTATCTACTATCTAAGAACGTTAATTTATACCGATAAATGATTAACTTATATCTGCCGGTTCTACAGTATTGTATTAATACTTCTTCTAGGGGTGCACAATCGGTCAAAACCGAACTGAACCAATTTAGCCAACCTTCAAACCGAAAACCGAACTGAAATTTATGGTTCAGTTCGGTTCCAAACCAAAAATCCGTCGACTAGATCGGTTCGTTTATCGGTTATCCAATAAAATTAAAAAATAACAAAGAACACCCATTCACTGCAAATAATTTCAATGTCTTACATAGAAGAACAAAGAGGAGCCATAATTTCCACCCATTCACTGCAAATAATTTCAATGTCTTACATAGAAGAACAAAGAACAAAGAGGAGCCATAATTTCAAAGTCTTACGGAGAAGGAAATCATGAAGCTGAGGTGCGGTTCCTACGAGGGAAATTGGATGGGGAACTCATTTGAGAAGACGGGACGAGCGCCAACTGTCGAGTGTCGAGTGAAGTGTGTGCGGGAGCGGGAGCGGGACGGCAATTTGGGATTTCAGAGTGCCACCGGCGATCGGAGACTCAGGGTGCGTGACTGTGCGGCAGAGACGATTTAGGGTTTACTCGTTTTTTACTTTTCTTTTAGGACTTAGGAAATTGTTGGGAGTGGGAGTCGAGATGGCAGATGAGGATGTGCAGATGAGAATTCACAATTGAGGAGCGACTGGGAGTGGAGATGATGATGACCTGATGATAAGTGAGCAGCAATTGGAAATTCTTGGGTCTGAAAAAGAATTGAAGAGCAATGGGGGTGGGTATTGGGCCTGCCTTGTAGTGTTGGGCCGTGGGTGGGTGGCTTTGTTTCAATTATTAAGATAAATGGGCTAAAAATCATAGGCATTGGTAGGGCTTTTATAACTTGTATATCTATTATCGGTTTTCGGTTCGGTTAGGTTAATCGAGCATGTATATCCATACCGAACCGAAAACCGAATTTTCAAGATAATGTAAACCGAAAACCGAACTAAAATTTCGGTTTCGGTTTCGGTCGGTTAACCATATTGTGTGCACCCCTAACTTATTCTATATTTATATTAAGATAGAAACTAAATAAAGGTAAGAATGACAATTGGACATTAACAACAGGCATATGGTCATCAACCGTGTGGACAATGACCTCTGAACTGATATATCTCTCTTCTAAGAAAAGAACGCCACAATTTCTTCCCAAAATACATCTCGCTAAATCAGTTCAGTACAAATCAATGTAACAGTAGAACGTAAGAACTCTCCTAAAAAACTTGAAACATAATAGACCACAGGCCACCTCTAATATCAGACCATCATGGTGTAGGGTCCATCCATAGATAATCCAATTGACTGATGGGCATGGAGGCAACTTTATAACTATATATAACCAAGGATACATGAAAATGAATACGACTGGGTGGAAAACCACATATCCAAGATGATGCATATTATGCTTTATATATTTAAAGGTCTTTTGTAGTATTCTTGGTATATTTTAAGGTTTCTCCATCTTAATAAACCACTATTTGAAAGCAATTAATAAAACATTCTATTTTCATTCCACCTTTTCCACCAAAAAATGTGATTGGAGACGAAGTTTTTGGAAATACACAGTTCATTTGCTCTCACTTTTGTCTCCTCAATGTCATCAAAACAACTTTTACAATGAACCCAATATGAGTCCACATGCCCCAAAATAATCACTATCCACCTAATCAAATGTTTTCACTTACCAATCATTTCCTCACTCACTATTGAACCAACCATTGCATTTACATCTTATATATTTACTATCAAAAGCTCATATCATTCTTTCCACAATTTTCTTTTTCATCACCAAGTTCTAATGGAAATTTATCAATATGAAAGTACATCCAATGGTGCCCTTAATCCTCCGAAAGTTGTTGCATGTTTTGTTTTTATGTACATCAGAGCAATGGCACAATCACGTCAAATTACCGATAAATGATACAATTCCAGATGAACTTCGTGTATAGAAACAAGATAGGATCAAGAGATCAACCAAGGAAATCCATGATATTGTCATCATACTTAAGCCAAACCATGACCAATAATGAGGAAACAGACAACCTGATGCAATCAGTAACTTTCTATTTATGAACTTAGAAAATTGAAACGCACGAACACAGGAAAAAAATGTGTATCTAGAACCTTTAGCATACATTAAGCGGCAATAATATATAGCACGTAATTTCTTTTACACACTGTTTATATAAATATGAAAACTGAGTCTTAACCATGACATGTGGAAGACCTAGGCACAGAGCAAAATGTGATATCTGATAAAAGATATCTACAGTGAAAGTGAGACTGGAATTCTTGGCCCCTTAAATCTAGGAACTCCAGTATGTGCACTATCTTTTAATTCTTCTGTTATGCTCTACAAAGTCCATAGTAGATAGTGTAAAATTATCAAGAACTCGTGCAGCACAGCAGTGCAAATTTTAACGAGTTACATGCCTAGGGTTTGTGCATGACAATGGTTAATGTTATATTAATTCGTCATCCAATCAGACCCAAACTGCCATAAGGCCCCATAGATGGAAGGAATAACTTGATAAAACTCAATATAGAAGGAAACAACGCAGACACATTCTTTTTGCCAAAACATGATCTTTCTGACTTAACGCACATGAGAGCATTCATTTTAACTAAAACCACACCACAAAAATTCAGAAGGGAAAAAATGAACAAGTTTAACGCTGAAACAATTAACTAAATAAGGGAAACTAAGCACAAATTACAGCATAAACTGAATAGTGTTTTTGATACTTTACCTGATTAACACAAGGCTCGGCCTTCCCAATATTCACAACTCCAACGAGGCAAAATAGAGATGGAAAAAATGAAAAGGCAAACAAATTCTTCACAACACAATTTTCCTACCCCATTTGCGAGAAATAAGAAGATTTTCCAAATTTATACAGCTCAAGAGACGAAGAGATTAAAAACGAGTTCCAGTGCGGGTAAATCATGAATAGTCGGGAAAAAGACGATGCAGGATGTTTGGGGGTTGGCAGAAGTACGATTCAGATAAGACCTCAAGACGGCACAGTACATCGAGGGCTCGAGCAAATTTGAGCCACAAAGATGGTCCAATTTGGACACACAGGACAATATCGGATTGCGTGTTGGGAGTTGCTGTGTTCTTGGACGCCAGGTACTATGCTAGGTATAATATTTATTCAATTCAAAGACATTTTAATAACATTTTAAGGGTCATTTTGGTTACTTTAATTGATTGGGCTTGATTAAATTCCATAAAAAAATTAATGTGTTATCTTTTGGATAGAAGAGTTCTATTAACTTGTTTGGTTGATAGCACTGTTCTAAAAATCGGCCTAGGCGGCCGCCTAGGCGTCAGGCGGTGCCCGGGCGCCTCTGATTTGTACAAATCGGATGAAAAAATCGGCCAGACGGCTAGGCGGCTCCTAGGCGGGCTTGGCGGGCTCGGCGGTTAGGCGGCTAGGCGGCGTCTAGGCGGGCGTAAGCGGACCTAGGCGGGCTCGGCAGCAATTTTTCAGTTTTTTTTTATTTTTTTTATTTTTTTAAATATTAATTACATTATTTTGTTCTCATAATTTCTTTAATATATATTAATATAATTATTTGGACTTTAGTGTGTGAATTTATTATAAGTTGAGATAGTTTTATTTTGTAGGTAGTTAAAATAAATAAAAAATAAGGTATTTAATATTGATTTCTGGGCCCCGACTAGGCGCTCTAGGCGCTCGGCGCTGGTCGGGCGCCTAGCGACTTTTAGAACACTGGTTGATAGTGGTAATTATTACATTTAAGTTGAGATTACACTTTGGCCCTTCATTTATAATTAAATTTTCAAATGTTGCCCCAATTCAAAAGTCACTTTTCTTCATAAATCTAGACAGTTACCACATAATAAAAAAATTTAAACATCGCATTTATCATATAATAATTAACACAACATACCTATGATTAATCTAGACAGTTAGTTGTCATTTCATAGATCCAAAACAAAATAAATTGCATTTTATCGCATTTACCACTCATCTTCCAAATTGCACTCAGATTTTTTCATAAAAAAAAACTTGCAGCAATTGAGTTATTGCACTGAGAAATTGAAAAAAAAAAATGGAAACCCCTCAACTTCCAAATTGCACTCAGATTTA